GGGAGGGGTAGACAGGGTTACTGCAGCGGACGCAAACCTCTCGGAGACCAGGCTGCAGGTGGCTTACAAAACACCCCATCGTATACTTGTTTGAGTGAAGTCCATGTAGACAATGCAGCCGTTGTTTAATGTAACTGCAATATAACATCGTTTTATTGAGCGGCGGTACGCTTTACAGTAGATTTCTTTAATGACGAGGAGAAGTTCCAGGTCCCCCATGCCCCACGCAGCTTTAGCTCCAACCACGCTTCTGCAGGGAGATATTTGTGTAAGAGAGGTAAAGACAGAAAGGTGACCTGCGCTTCCCTAGCTGCCAGCCCGGGAAAATGTAGGTTATGGCAGAATGAAGGAGGGATCATAAGTGGGTTACCACCATGAACTGTCATGCCCTTGTCTTACAGGAAGCTGGCTCTCCCAATCGGCCAGATGGAAACCGAGCTGATCGTAGCCTGCTGTAGTTGAACGTAGCAGCTCAGATCTCGATGCAAAAATCACTTAGGAGGATTCCCACCCGGAGTGCTGCCATAGGATCGTTACTTTCCCCGAAGCAGTATGCCACAGGCCCCGCGTCTCACGGCTCTTGTGTGGTCCACGTATGGCCGAGATCACCCGCAGAGATGACTTGGAGCCGCAAAGCACCTGCGACCCTGCCAGATCCATATGATCGGGCACCGTGGTAGGTGCACATCTTCTCAGTGTAAACTTGCGTGGGGATAGTAGATAAAAGGAGGTGCAGGGGAAGACGCTGCACTGCCCTGAAACACTGGCAGTGGAAGCAGGCACAGTAAACAAGCAAGGCTTCCAGATGGCCTCGGGGCTGGCCTAACTTTATTCCAGTTGAAGTCAGCGATAAAACTCCCATAAATGGAGCCTTTTTGAAAATCCCATCCTTGGGGCATTGAAGTACTTAAAGGAAGAGACTGGGAATCGTGCAGGCTTTAGATTCAATTTTTGATCAGTTGTCATACGTATTTCAGGGGGCCCAGCCACAGAACGGCAATGAGAAGAACTCTTCTGTCTTTCTGTTCTGCGCATGCACGTTTGGTAAGTAAAATGTGTCGGAACAATTATACTGTGGTTTTAATTCCCCCTCTAAACTGCCATATCATGGGCACACACGTGCTGTGTGGTGCTGTGAAGAGCTGGTCCCGTGACTTGTGTGGTGAAGGCTGTGGGGCTGCGACACCAGCGAATTCTGAGGAGGGCAGATAATCCCGCAGCGAAGGCCCAGGGCTGGCGCTGAGGAGATCTAGTTTTATTTCTCAGTTCTGACATGGGCTTCCTGTATGACCTCAGCGCAGTCACGTAATTGCTCAGTGCCTCAGTCCATCATCTCTTTAATAGGGTTACTGCTTACTTATTTCCTTTCTCCCGCCCTGGCCTGCCTTGCTTAGACTGCAATTCTGCCAGGGAGTGGAGCATTGCTCGCCACGTGCAAGGCCTTCACCCGGTACAAGAAGACCCAATGGCAATGCCTGTACGGTAATGCAATGCCAATTAAATAAATAAATGAAGATGATAATATCGTTTCGGACTAGATTTGCAGCTTGCAATCCAGCCCAAGGTCAGAGTTGCCCTTGGAACCTCAGGACCTAAGGAAGCTCTCCTCGGGGAGGTTCCCGCACTGGTGATAATCGGCCCCAAGCAGCAGCAGGCTTTGGGAAGGGGGCAAGGGTCAGCCCCAGTTTCGCGGCCGCCCTTCTCTGGCTAACTGCTGAAAGCCACAGCAGAGGCTCCTCAGAGACGCCGCGTTGGACTAAGGGTCTTCTCATTGTGCACAGCCTTGTCTGATCTCGGTTCCCGGCTCTTCGACGCTACTGCGGTTCTCCTCCCCTACGGACTGCTAAATCGTATACACGGATGCCAGTGTATCGCAATGGCAGAGTAGCTGGTGTCTGTCTGAGCTGCCTCGCATTCCCGTAAGGGGCCACGTTACAACAAAAGCCATGGCAGGGCGTGCAACCTCATGACCCAAAATGGAGCTGCAGCGAAAATTATTTCCATTACTCCAAGCTGCATTCGTTCTGATTAATTCAGTGCTTCCTACTATATTTAGATAACTGAGGATTAATTGTATGCATGCTGAAATGCTGTCCCTTGTAATAAAATCACGCCAAACTATTCCTAACTTGAGTGCCACTTGAATTCGAAACCTAACTAGGCCCTGAGGGCCTTAGCCCATACTTAGCAGGACGCATAAGGCATGCAGGATCAGGGCCTGGCTGTTTTCTCATCAAACCAAATGGTTTTCGAATCCCGTTGCTTATCTATAACGCTCGATAAATCAGGAATAATTTGTCTGCTAATTCTACCTCGCAACGCTTCAGAAGCACACCTGCTTCTCGGTGCATGCAGCTGTCTGTATCTGGCGTCGGAGACAACTCCGTTTTTGCGCTAAATCCAGACCGTACTTCAGGTCGACACAAAGCTAGGTGAGGACTGATACACCTACGCTGCTATGTAACGCATTTATAACTACATCTGTATTAACAGCTCTCTATTCCTTGGCTTTGTGGGTCACCCCTTTACCCAACCCGTCATTAACTACGTCTTCAGATGAGCTCCTTCAGAGGGCTTTCTGCCAGGGCACGGCCTCAGAGGAGGGAGGACAGCGGGACTGCGTTCATGTGTGGACGTGTCTGAACGTGCTCCCCTGTCACCCGCAGCCAGAACGAAAGTTTTCAAAAAATGGCTAAATTGGACTCCAGATGTAAAGTTTACCAGAAGTAATTTACGGCCAGTGGAAAGAAGTAG